CCCGGCCCCGCCCCGCCCCGCCCCGCCGACCCTTAAAGTAACAGGTTGCGAGGGGACGGGGAGGGCAGGGTTCTCCGGGCTGGGCGGAGCTGGGCGCCGCCGCACCGAAGCGGGAAGGGGAACGCAGCAAGAAGAGCTGCGAACAAAAGAGAAGCGGGGTAGCGGTCTTCTCGGCCGACGCCGAGCGAGGAGAGGGCGAGCCAGCGGCGTGCGGCGGGGCAGGCTGCCGCCCTCCCCTCCCCTCCGCACGGCGGCGGCCGTGGGAGGTCGCCGGCCAGGGTTGGGTGAAAGGACTCCCTGTGCCAAAGGCGCGCTGGAAGAAGGACCATCCCCCCCAAACCTCAGCCTCTGTCTCGTGTCCCGTCACAAGCAAACGTTTCTGAAAAGCCCCCCCCCCCCCTACGTCCTCTTGCAAAAACAAAGGGAGGGAGACGCGAAGGGAATGCCCAAGTTGCACAGGTTTGACAGGTGACGGTGGGCAGCAGGCAGGAAATGACACTCGGGATTATTTAAGACGTATGTGTAGCGCTAACTGCTATTTCCCCCATTAACGGGCTGGTACTCTTTTAAAACAACGGTCGCCACCCCAAAAATTGGCGTGTCCCTTCCGCACTGTATGAGACAACCTGCTGATTCACGCCACAGGAATACGCCAGCGAGGAGCTGGAAGTGATTTACTGCGCGCGCCTCGATCACGGTCCCGGCGCTCGTGAGAAGAGTATCTTCCGACAGCCACACAGTTGTCCAAAAATGCCTATGGAAACTTTTGCCACCCTGAACGCTACTTCTGTCTGTTCGACAGTCACGTTTTTGATAAATTTTCCTGATGGCAGTCGTGCGTCCGTGATCCGACAACCGGCAGAGCAAACCCTTTCCGAAAGAGGCGCCGGCGCCGGCGGACCCCCCCCCGCCCCGGGCGCCCCAGGGCCTGGCCACCAGGTGGCGCGCGGAGTCCTGGCGCCCATGTCCTCGCTTGACCTCCCCGGGAGCCTCCTGCCGCCCACGATTCGCGTCTCCTCTCTTTTCGCTTCGGAATGAGAAGCCCACCTCATCGACATTCTAGCATAATTCAACAGCTCCTTCACGACTACTGAGCGGCATCTTCTTTTTCTTACAGATGCTGTAAGCCTTCATTAGTAAAATCAGTACTAACGACTCAAAAGGATGACTGCGATTTGTAAAAATTCCACAAGTTACAATGCGACTTGAAATTTACTAACATTAGCCCCTGAAGTATATGGATAGCCGTGTTTTAAAATTGCAGTGCACGGATCTAGCAGTTCACGTATCTTCTACTAACCTTGTGTTGGGCTAGCCAGCACACGTAAGAACACCTGCTGAGTCCATAAACCTATCAAAGCTGATTCTGGTAACTTTAAAACTTCACACATGCAAGGTAAATTAAAAAAAAAAACGGTACCGACGCTATTTACTAGAGTAAGGATTATGCACAGGAGCAAGGACAGCAAGGCTGGACCACTACCGCACTTATAGCAGTGGGCTTCCTGGCATCAGGGCCCACCTGAACAGAGCATCTGCAGGCTGAGGATCCCTGGCATTTCTTATAGAGGTTCCATTTTTGCTGTGGCTGAGCAGCTCTTCTCAAGTGTTCAGTCACTTAAGCAACTTGTAAAGACTGAGAATAGATTGTCAACAGTGTTTAGCTGTCTAGATCCCTTTGCTTTCATTGGAAATCAGACTCTTAAGCATCTTTGACTCAATGAGGGGTTTTGCCATTCAGGAGACACTCCGGCCCTTAAGCACAATGTACTCTTCCACGTTAGGGCAGAGTTGAGTGTGTAACATGTTCCCAGTAATAACAGTAATGTAGACACTAAAACTACTTTGCCTTTCATTATTGGCACATACTTAATTTCATTATTGAGTAATGCAGCTCTTGGAAATACTGTTTAATTCTTACTCCAACAACAAATTTGAAGCACTGACGATTTTACAGCAGTAACTGGGCATGACTATTTTTCTTTTCTTCTGCCCTATCACCTACATTCCAACTTCATGTTACACTGCCAATCTAAGCATAAAATTCACAGTGAAGAAATGGGGGATGTGCTTCTCTGCTATCAAAACAGTGCTACCACTCCATTCTTAGTGTGGCAGATACACGTTTCATGACAATTACAATGCATATTTCTGCTTTCTTATTATTGCCTTTAAACAATTAGACAAATGTACTTAAATTAGTAACCAGCAAACCTTAATTTAGCCCATAAAGATTATATGACTTTTAAATGCAGATAAAATTACGAATCTCGGTGGGTACTTGACCTCATACATACATAGTTTTGTAGATGTTTTCAATGTGTTGAACATACCATCTTATTGACAGCAACTACGAAGAAAGCAGAAAAAATGTGATACAGATTCATTACTGAAACAGGTCTACAGAATTATTTCCATGTTCAGTGACTGCAGTATCAGCCCTAAGAGTCTTTTTTTACTCGGTGTACCCACAACTTTAAGACTTGAGGACTAAAGAATGTTGCCCTGAAATATTCAGGTACAAGCATTATTTTATTTAGGAATCACTGCTGTTCAAAATGCTGCTATACATGAAATCCTATCTTCAACACTTCTTGCTAGCTAGAAAGTAAATCCTTTTATAACATCTCTCTACATTTCTGGACAACTCTTCAAAGATCTTGACTGCCTATTTGTAATAGTTTGACATTGTAAAGAATATATTTGCTACCTATTCTGGGGCAGAAGTTGGGGACAGCATCTTTCTGTGTAATAAATTATGTTCTGTTATGGGGGTACCATAAAGGATAGAACACTTTTTTCCAACTCAGTTTGAATGGAAAAAAATAGTATGGACAATTTCTATGTATGAGTCACTTCATAGTTTTGTTCGACTCAGTAGGAACAAGGCAGAAATGCAAAAATAAAAGCATCACTCTAAGTTGGAATATTTCTGCCTCTTGTCCACCTCCTTCCAGCTTTTCGTCTTACACAAAGATTTGAATTAGTCTTCCCAAGTTTGTTCTGGACATCATTATTACTTAATGTAATTATAGCCTTTCTGCCTGTTTAAATTTATTTTGCCCTTTGTATAACAACACAAATGATCCATAGCTGTAGCTAGAGAGAAGAAAAGTCACCCTGGGCCTGACCTTGCCGGTACATTCATTTCCTAGGATCCATGGTAGTGATGGAAGCAGGTACTTCCACCTCAAAAGTCTGCAAAGATGATTGCTATCTTACAAGTTAAGAGCCATGATGACATATTTTTATAAAAGATACACCTGTACATAGATTTATTTATTTGCCCTGCTTTTCTCAGAAGGCTGTAAAGATAGGATTTGATTTTTTTCTTTCCTCCTGATATGCTGATTTCTGAGAAAGGAAAGCATCAAACATACACACTGCAAAAGGGAACTAATCAGATGAGTGAGAGAAGAACACTTTTGTCTCCACAAAGTCTGTGTCTCTGTGCTCCTGCTAGCTTTTATGCTGAAGTCGAAAAACTAAAGTCCCTTCTGATTCTTTGAGAATTTTTCCTGAAAGCCACAAAACTATCATCACTTTAATGATTGTCCTATTACTTTATGGTGTCTTTGGCATTTTTGTTTTACCAGAATTAGAGTGTAGATGAGCAGAACAGCTTTTATACTCAGGCCATATCAAAAGAGAAGTTTTGGTAACAGCGTGGGCAAACAGAGCAGCTATTACACTTTTAATAGTAGCTCTAATACACCTGATGATATCTGAACCTGTTTAGCAAGAGACAAGGTGTCCAAGAAGTAAAGAGTCTCTGCTACACTGTATGATGAGGTTTGCTGGATTTTTAATTTTCATCCATAGAAGAAACAGGAAAGAAGAGAGAAAAAAAAAAAGTCTTCCACTGAAGGGAGATATTTTTTCTTTGATAGTTCTACCTTGTGTCACAGTTGAGAATAAGATGAAATAAGGTTGTTAGTAACCGGAAAATTCATTTATTCTTAACAGATACCAGTGAGACAATTCTGTTTTCCAGAATCCCTTAAATGCGTGAGTTTTCTGGCACAGACTCACATTCCATATTTATCTCCCTAACATGGGATTCTACAGGAAGGAATGGAGATGGATGGTCCTCTGGAGTCCTTCTATGCTGATTTTTATTTCTTATGTATTTGGACAAAAATATTTTCCTCTTGACTTCTAACAGGACTGAATCAATACAAGCTGTTTTCTGATATCACACATCAGTGTAAGAGTGGAAATGCTCTATTACCTAACTTTATTCATTCTAATAGTCTTTTAAAATACTTAGCTGAGACCACTCAGTTGAGTAATGATTACTTAGAAACATCTGCAGATTCAGGCTCAAATTTGGAAAAGAAAAGGGAGTTGTTTAATATGTGTCAGTTGTGAAGCAATTTTGATTTTTAAACAACAAAAAAAATTTAAAATAGCATTTGTATTCAAGCTGAAGGGGTTGTGATGCAATTACAGCCATTTTAAAAGCTATCA